GAGAAGAAAGGGGGGGTGAGGGGGTGTGTGTGCGTGTGTGGATGCATGCGTTTGTTGATGTATTAGCACTGGTTGTTGTCCTGATCATTACAGCGTAATCTGTACAGAAGGAGAATAAGAGAGGAGAAGAACGAGTATGACCACGACTGCGAGGATATAGTCTGTGAAGAAGAAAAGAAGGAGAAAGGAGGAAGGAGAAAAGGAGGAAGTACAGAAACGGGCAGCAGAAATGGGCACAATTAAGTGAACTCCGAGTGGGAAGAGGAAAGAGGAAGAGGAGGAGGGGGTATTTATTGTATTCCCAAAGAAGCGAAAACGAGGGAGAACGAGGAGAGGAGAGTGGCGACGTTGAAGGAGGGTGCAGGCGGAGGAGGAGGAAGGCAATTTAACTGAAGAAGGAAATGCCCCGGATAGGGAGGATGAATTGAAAAGAAAAGAAAAAAAACAAGGGACGAGAAAAGACAAAGGAAGACGAGCTGTAGAAGGGAGGAGGAGGAGGAGGAGGAGGAGGAGGAGGAATGAAGAGGGATGGGAGAGAGAGCACACAGATAAGTGTGGCTTCGCTCGAGTGAAAAGAGGGAAGTTCTGACAGCTGAAAGAATTCTGGCAATTGGAGGAGGAGCATTGGCACTTGGGGTGGTAGTAGGGGGCAGTTGTGAGAGAGGGAAGGAAGAGAGGGAGAAAGAAGACAGGTGGATATGGCAGCGAGTCTGATTAGCAACAGCGCTCATGGCGGGGTGTTGTGTCTGGCCCGTCGTGCGGCATCTCCTTGTGACCATTCCCATCACCCTCGTGGGGCTGTGACTGGTTCGTCCTTGTCACCTCCTTCTCCTCCTCCCTCTCTTTCTCCTCCTCCTCCTTCCTCTCCTGCTGTTTCGCGCGGAAGAAGAAGAAGAACAACAACATCAACAACAAGAGCTGCTGCTTCTGGTTATCGTCGTGATGACATCAACAATTATCTTTGGACCACGTGGTGCAAACGGGAAATGAGATCATGGAGTTCTGCTGATGGTGGTGCTGACGTGGCAGGACTGGATCGAGCAGGAGCGTGCACGTGGCTGACAGGTGGCACATTGCGGAGGCTGAAGCAAAGGGGTCAGTGGCTATTGGCGCTCGAGGACTCCTCGTCCTCCTGTGCGGTGCCCTCTTTGGGTTCTTCCTCCTCATCTTCCTCGTCCTCGTCCTCGTCCTCGTCCTCCTTTGCTTGTAGAAGATCGACGCGTTGCTCTACTACCGCTGCCGTCCAAGGTGTGGTTTGGGGTCTGGCTCGTCGGTCGGAATTGCATCGCCTCGCTTCGCCGACGGCCACTGTGGATCGACAGAAGATGGGGGCGACCACCCGCGAAAGCAGTGTAATGGCACCCACAGAGGAGGAGGAGCAGCGGGAGAAAACTGGTGCCTCTACTCTGACCGTCCACTGTGGAAAACCATCTCCTTTAGGCGTCTCTCTCTCCAAGGATGTAAGAGGAGGGGGGAGTGTAGTAGAAAGTCAACGTGTCAATTTTGCACTGTTCTCAGAGCATGCTTCCAGTGTCACTCTCTGTCTATGGCTTGAAGGTCGGGGGAAATATGATCAGCCATCGCTGGAGCTTTCGCTCGATAGGGAGAAGAATCGAACCGGCAACGTTTGGCATGTTGCTGTGGAGGGTCTGCCATTGCAAGGGGTTTTGTATGGGTACAAAGTTGATGGGCCAGGGGGGTGGGAGACTGGTCTAAGGTGGGAAAAGTCGAAAGTGCTGCTTGATCCGTATGCGAAGCTGGTGGAAGGACGGCGTGTCTTCGGCGATCAGTCTGAAAAAATGGCGCCTTTCCTTGGCACCTACGACCTGGCTAGTGAGCCCTTCGACTGGGGCGAGGAGGGCTCTGAAGCTGGGGGTGACCAGCGGGCTCGCATTCCGGACAAGGACATTGTGATTTATGAGATGAACGTTCGAGCTTTCACTGCGGACCCTTCCAGTGGGTTGGAAGATGGCGTACGTGGCAGCTATCGAGGCGTGATCGAGAAGATCCCGCACTTGGTGGACCTCGGCGTGAACTGCGTGGAGCTGTTGCCGGTCATGGAATTTGACGAGATGGAGTTCCAGAGGCGCAGGAACCCCCGGGAGCATATGGTGAACACGTGGGGCTACTCGACAGTCAATTTTTTTGCGCCGATGACGAGGTATGCGAGTTGTGGCGGCGGGCCCGTCGTCGCCGCGAAGGAGTTCAAGGAGATGGTCAAGGCTCTTCATGCTGCAGGAATCGAAGTCATCCTTGACGTCGTGTACAACCACACCAACGAGGCCGATGACCAGTTTCCCTACACGACCTCCTTCCGGGGCATTGACAACCTTGTCTACTACTCGGTTGATGTCAACAACTATGTGCAGTTGATAAACCTTACCGGCTGCGGCAATACCGTCAATTGCAACCATCCGGTTGCCATGCAGCTCATCTTGGATAGCCTGAGGTATTGGGTGCAGGAGTACCACGTGGACGGGTTTCGGTTTGACCTTGCGACGATTTTCTGCCGCGATTCGAAAGGCAATCTGCTGAGCTCTCCTCCAGTTGTCCGGGCCATTGCGAAGGACCCTGTGCTGTCGAAGTGCAAGCTAATTGCGGAGCCTTGGGACTTGGGGGCGTACCAAGTTGGGAGTTTTCCCAATTGGGACAGATGGGGGGAGTGGAATGGCAAGTACCGGGACGACGTTCGCAGGTTCATCAAGGGCGACGGAGGGATGAAATGCGCGGTCGCAACGCGTATTGCGGGCTCTGCGGACCTGTATAACGTCAACCAGAGGAAGCCTTATCATAGCATCAACTACGCAGTTTGCCACGACGGTTTCACGCTCCATGATGTTGTCGCGTACAACACGAAACATAACCACGCTAATGGTGAAGGCGGGCGAGATGGGCAAGACGACAACTTCAGTTGGAACTGTGGGGTTGAGGGTCCCACCAGTGATCAAGGTGTGCTTGCATTAAGAGCGCGGCAGATGAAGAATTTCCTTGTTATCCTTTTCATGTCGCAAGGAACTCCGATGATTCTCATGGGCGACGAGTACATGCACACGCGCTTTGGCAACAACAACAGCTACGGTCATGATACGAAAATGAACCACTTCTTGTGGGATGAATTGGAGAAGCAGAAGCAGGTAGTAGGAGGGGGAGGGAGCAGCATGTTGAATTTCACGCGGGAGATGTTGCGGTTCCGCCGAAGCCATCCGTTACTTGGTCGCGACAACTTCTTGACCAGTGCCGACATAGCGTGGCACGAGAACAACTGGCACGACACGGAAAGCAGGTTCCTTGCTTTCACGCTACACGAGGGAAAGCATGGCCAAAGAGCAGGCGATATATACGTGGCCTTCAATGCACACAACTTCTTTGTCAATGCGCCCCTCCCGAGACCGCCAGCAGGAAAGAGATGGTGCAGGGTGGTGGATACCAACCTGGGCCCCGGCGAAGATGCGAAGCTGGAAGGTGCTCCTGCAGTCTCAGACAAGTACAATCTCGCACCCTATTCGTCAATCGTCCTCCTGGCGAAGCCAGTATAAGCTTGTACCGCAGCCTAAGCGATGCCAGGCGGAGATCCAGAGTCATTCAACAGCAACTCTCGTCAGAATGGAACAGGCCAGTTGGCATCCTGTGAGGCCAAATAGGTTAAAAAGGCCCAGGGCAGGGGCAGCTGTCTGGTAAGCTGTGTTGGCAGTTGGAGCTTAACGTTGTGAACGTAGTCTAGATGTCGACTCCCTCCTTCCCTCCATCTGTCTCTCTGTATGTCTATGTATGTTCCTATCTATTCATCCATCTATCTACCTATATCTATATCCCCCTGCTCGTCTATCTGTGAGCTGTTATTGTGCACACAACGGCGTTTTTCTCTTTCTTGTGCACTCTATGTCAAAACCAGTTGATTCCTTTTCAGTGTGCCAGTTCTCTCTCTCTCTCTCTCTCTCTCTCTCTCTCTCTCTCTCTCTCTCTCTCTCTCTCTCTCTCTCTCTCTCTCTCTCTCTCTCTCTCTC